TCCATGCTTTACTTCTCTCTCTCTCTCCTCTCCTTTCCCAGTGCAAAGTCATTTGCCACTTTACTTCATTATCATCATCATCATCATCACTTACCGGACGCTCTGAGCAGTAACATCGCCACTATTAACGCCGAGTTGAATATTGAGACCTTAGATCTCACAAATGCAAGAAAATGTGTGGCGAGACATTATTAACTACCTAGAAGGAGGCCCTGTTCCCTCTGTCAATCGCGCTAATCGCATCTCTGATTAAGGTAGCAGCCAGCTTCAGTTTCGCCTTGTAATACCTAAAGTACTACGTCCGGCAACTCTCAAACTGGCTCATTCACCTAAAATTGCAGGTAACCCAGGTATTCAGAAGACGTATGATCGGGTCAAGAATTCTTTTTTATTTTCCAAACAGCTTAACTTATGCGATTGACTATGTGAAACAATGCCTCCCTTGTCAACAACGTAAAGGCCATTGCAATGTTGAGGCACCCCTTCAGTCATTTCCAGAGATTGAGGCACCCTTAGACAGAGTAGGAGCGGACTTGATTGATTTACACAGTAGCCGCTCAGGTAACAGATATGTCCTCGCGCTACACATTCTTAGTTCCCCTAGCCCATAAAGATTCAGAAAGTGTATTAAATGGATTTCGTAAAAATTTTGTTGCGTATTTTGGGGCATCCAAGGTTTTAGTTACGGATCGGGGTAAAGAATTCACGGGAAAATATACTGTATAAGGACGTATGTGACCTTCTCAAAGTTCACACAGCACTAACCACCGCTCATCACCCTCAAGCAAACGGGCTGGTTGAAAGAAAAACTAGAACCATCAAAGACACTCTATCCATTCTCAGTCATGATGATCCTCACACTTGGGATGGACAATTAAATTGTGTATAGCTTGCCTTAAATACAGCCGTCCATCAGTCGCTGGGCACTCAGCCTATATTCCTCCTAACTGGGTTACCAGATCGTTTCCAATCAGGTCTTATCAATGCTCAACCGGTTCACTATGGGCAGAATGCCCCTGCTGAGAAAATCAACCAAATGAAGGCCGCTTGGCGTAGCGCCCAGCAGGCCTCTGATCTAACCAAAAAATATTACGCTCAGTTTCATAACCAGAGAGCAAAACCTTTGACAGTGAAAGTGGGAACATTGGTGATGCTATGGAACGACTTGTCTGAGCCCAGACAAAGTAGAAAACTAGGAACTCGCTTAAAGGGACCTTTTAGAATTATTGAGAAGAAAAAAACCGTTAATTACAAGAATGAAGGCATATTTGATGACTCTGAACCACGTATAGTCCATATTAACAAACAAAAACTGTTCACGCCCTCACAAGAACTAATCCTTCCAAACATCTCCACAGGAGATAAGACAGACGAAACATCTCACCTTCAACCTGTCTCTCAGTTTAATCATGACCTGAATAATCTACTAACCCCTGTAGTAGGACCTTCTCATCCGATGACTCTATGGTCCAGGGTAGGCCACCATATTTAGGCTATTATTTTATCTATCTGAACCAGACCTTCTCTGTGTTTCCAATACCGTGGCTGCTCACTGTATTCTCGCAGGATTGTAGAGATTGCATGGTCCCCAGATGAGTAATGGGTAACTGTGGCTCCTTTGGGGAGAAGTTACCCCCTGATGCCACAAGTAAAATTGCAGATAAGACTCTTCGCCCATTCAGGTATTCTACCTCATTTTACACGTCTTCAAGTAAACGCTGAATAAATCAACAGGTCAAGCAAAATCGTGTCTGGTGGCGTAAAGACTATAACAACATGTCCGCCACGCTCTAATCTTCCACGATAATAACGGAATGAGAGAGAGAACATCAAAATAACCGCCCCCAGGTGACTTCGCTACCGTTGCTGAAGGGAGGTACCGGTCAGCCATCTTCACCAGAGCTGACACAGGGGCACCTATCCTACCTCACCTGACCCTTCAGCCAACCACGCCCGACAACATTTGTGGTGCAGGGACATGAGCTGTGTCGAACCCTACCACTCCAATACAAATAAAAGGAGTGGTGAGGAGACGACGGTACCAGCCGAAACCCAACGGAGGACCTGAGGTGTTTACTTACAACACCTGTGAGGAGGAGATAGAGTTCGCTATTAATTGGGGACTTGCCAACAACCTTGCCTTTATCAGCCAGGTGGACAAGGTATCTGGTTAACAGTACCTGCAGACAAGTCAAGTCACCTGCGGTTGGTTAACGCCTGTTAAAGTCAGTTGCCGTCGTCGGAATGAATGATACCAACTACAGGAGAAGAGGAGAGAAGTGAGAAGTTGAAGTCCCAAAGAAGTGACACACATACTGTCCTGGAAAACACCTGTCCCGGTGGTAGCTCTATTAAGGATCCGCCCCATAGGGCTTGAGCAGCTGTTCAACAACAAGGTGTCAGCTTCCCCAGTTTAGTGTTTACACACAGATGCATGTAATACGGTTAGGTTTTTGTATAGGATTTTTCTGCGAGTTTAGTTTATTCCTCGCGGAGCTTGGAGGGTGTGACTGAGCGATGTAATAGCCCCTGTCTTATAGACAAAAGTATTAATATAAATGGGTTAATTACTTTTGATTTATATACTCTATCACCCTCTGTAACTTTCTACTAGCTATGAGGTAGCATGTTCAGAGCACGTGATAACGTGTGCCCATGGGTAGTCGTGTCACTTAGTGCAAGGAAAATGTAACTGCAATGAAGAGAAGACAGACAATATGGCAGAAGGGGGCCCTTGATGATATCCTAAATGAGGCAAGAACATTGCAGCAAAGACTGAAATTTACAGGGGACGGAAAGCAAGTTACAGAGGATGCTACCAGAAAGTTTTGTAACAAGAAGCGAGTGGGAAAGGTGTCCTCGGTGGTAAGAACTCTTACAGTGGAATCATCCGGTGGTGTGCTGCCAATAAACCGAGAGACCTTACAACATCTGAAGGAAAAACATCCTCTTACAAGTGCAGAGGAAGGCATCAGGTTCCAGGGTAACTTTGTCCCTCCAAACGATGTCATGTTCGAGAAAATAGCTAGAGGGATGGTGTGGAAAAAAGTACTGAAGACACAGGGATGTGCAGGCCCTTCAGGCTTGGATGCAGACGTTTGGAGAGTCATCTTCAGCACTAACAAGTTTGGCGATGCAGCAAGTGATCTCTGCAATGTTTCTGCCGCCCTTGCAAGAAAGCTTGCAACCTCATGCATTCAACATAATCAACCGCAAAGCTACAATGCACATCAAGATCAGGTGTTCAAGCTTTACAATGTATGTTGAAAACCCCTTTAGGAACCCCGACAGACCTCTATGTAACAAGTTTCAAGGTCCTAAGAGGAGATACCACCATACAATCAACTGAGGTAAGTACGCAGGGGGATCTAGTCACAGCAATGTACGCAATAGGTCTATCCGTGCTCCAACTCAAAATAAACTTAGAAACAACCAAGGTCAAGCAGGCGGCACATGTTGATAACATTACAGGAGCAGGAAAAGTGGAGGACAACAAAAAGTGGTGGGACCTGGTAACGTCACGTGGTCTACATATCGGGTACCACCCAAATGCCAGCAAGTCCTTCCCCATTGTGAAGCCAGAATACCATGACCGGGCTATGAAGGTGTTCGACGGAAGTGAGGTCAAAAGGAAAGAGGAAGGCTAAAGACATCTACCCTCTAAGTGCGGTAATCGGCACGAACGATTTCAAGACCGAGTACGCAACGGGAAAGGTAAATGAGTGGGTGAAAGAAATCCAAGCTCTGTTGGAGATTATTAACAATTAGCCACATGCAGCGCTTCCGGCATTCACACTAATGAAAAGCCATTATTTAACCCCAGCAGAAAGGTCACTCCTTGCATTACCACCGAGACTGGGAGAAATGGAATTGACTATGCCAGAGGAGCTTGCTGCCACTGAACACCAGAACTCAGTCAAGCTCAAGACAGCCCTCACTGAGCATTTAACAGCTCAGAATGCAGCAAATCAGGTGGATACCAATGACAGTACGGCAGCATACCCAAAGCCAACCGCTGCTGCAATTTTCAGAGAAATTGAAAAAAAAAATGGTAGATAGAGCGTAGAAGGTGGGAGCCTAGAACTTGCTATCAACGTTACCGATAAGGGCAAATTGCTTTAGCCTTAATAAACAAGGATTTACAAATGCCTTTACTCTAAGGTATAGTTGGCCCAGTAGAAGTTTGCCCTCCCAATGCCTGTGTGGCTCATCCTACGACATCGAACACACCATACTACTCTGGCAAATATCTCGTCGGGACCTGAGTACTTATCAGGTTTTAATTTATCTCTTTTCTTACTAACATCGATACTTGTCAATACTATCTTGCTTTATATATTTTCTTCACTATCCTTAGATAGTAGGTGCCTGGGGTATCATGTTTAAATTTTCGATTGTGAAAACTGATGAAAAATATCTGTTTAGGTTATTGCTCATTTCTCCATCGTTATCAGTTAGTTCGCCGAAATCTTACTGTAGTGGTCCAATCTTGTCTCTTGTTATAGTGTGATACATTTGGAAGAATCCTTTGGGGTTTAACTTCGTTTCCCTTGCCCGTTTCAATTCATTACTGTATTCCTCTTTGCTTTTCTTATCTCTGACTTAACCCCACTGGCCCATAATTTCTAATAATCTCAAAAGTAGACACGTCACCATGTTTGATTCTCATATCTATAACCTTCCTTTATCTATCGGTATGAAATAATTTGTAACCTTTAAGTTTATTCATGTTTCCGTGAATGCTATTATATAGCTTTTTTCAGTACATACCAACTTTCTGATTTCATCCATTTAATTTTTCATACTTCTACTGTTTGCGTAGTAGACATTTAAGTTAGACGTTATCTGAGTCCTCTCTCTGTTACATTTAGTTTTAACTCCTTTAATATTAGTAGTAGTAATAATAGTTGTAGTAGTATTCTATTTTTTTCCTTATGACTTTTGTTTCTATTTTTAATGTTACTGTTATTATGATTATATTTAAATGACATTTCTTGCAGGGTATGTTCGTGGTGGTCGGAGGTGGACTCTTTATCGGTTTCCTTGTGTTCATATTTGAGGTATTCGTCGCCTGTGTACTTCAGTAGCAGAGTTTCTTTACCCAAGGCTGATGGACGTTATCTCTCTTCATCAACAGGACTGGGAGAGAAGTTTTTCGTCAGTAGAGATCGTGTTGTCGAAAACAAAATTATATATCCTGCATGGCAAATTGCCCAGTTGAAAAATGAATCTCACCACGAAAATCCCATGAGCCAAAGATGCACTGAGTTACTAAGTTGTTAGATTGGATAGGTTTCCCTCCTAAAACCCACAATATAAACTGTTTCTGGCACAGAACCCTTTCAAGGTGCTCAATATTTATTACATTTATTATATTAGCTATACGCATATATCGGTATTTTAATTGGATTTCGCAGTTTAGTTTATTCAACCCTTGAGAATAATCATTTAGCCCCCGAAATACAAAGTCATCGTCGTAAAGAGAATTGGTCATGGTAATGAATGAGCTACAAACATTGGGCTAATGTATTATGCTTGACTCGGTGTTATGAGAGATTTTATCTAAATTGATGACGTTTATTTATATTCATAAAATTAGATTAATGTCATTCTCGTTTGTAATATTTGCAGTAAACAAAATATAAATAAATTCTGGTAGTATTTCATTCTTTGTTTGGATTTCCTGGTTTGGATTATCTTTAATACAATTAGTAATGTACATATAAAGTCATAATATACATACAGCCATAAAATTATATACATAAACACATACGAACGTACTGTTTAAATACACACAGAAAAGAAGGCACACACGCGTACGAAGGGGCAACGCCTCACCACCAGCCTCCCAAACTACTTCAGTTACACTTGTTTGGCCAGTGATTATTCTTGCGTTAATCTTTCAAAGGAATTTTAACCATGTGTTACGACACTCCTCCTTTCACCGCTTATCCAGCTTCCACCACTGGTTACCAGCGGCTAGGGTCGTATGTACAGAGCAGTAGATATCTCAAGTGTTGTCGAATTACCACTGGCTGTCCCGCCAGTCTCCGGTAATTCTCCGACGATCGGTATTAGTGTACAAGCAAAAGGCAGGTAGATTCCCACCAGGTCACAGAAACACACTTGTGCGCTGTAGACTACTTTAATAAGCACTGATTCTTCACAACACTGTTAACAGCTGGGCTTCCCGGGGGGACGGTGGTAGAAGCGGTATTGCTCTTGCCCTGCAAGCAAGATGAGACGGGTTCGATTCTCGGGCCGGTGGAAGTTGTTTGGACATACTTCCTAGCCCCCATTAGTCCCTGTTCACCTAGCAGTAAAGTAGGTACCTGTTGTAAGTCGAAAGTTGTGAATTCGTATTCAGGGAGTTGTTGGAGCTTCCAATAACTTGATGACATAAACCATTGACTCTTCAGGCTTCTACGCCCTTAACTCATGAGACAAAAAGGCAAGCATGAACTTAGCATGCTTCCCTGTTGGGCGCTGTAAACGCTTCTGTGCTTCACCTTACACTAGGATGTAGGGGGGTGCCCAATAAAAAAAAAAAAAAAGCTGGGCTTCTCACTTCGAATATAAATTGTAGTAGGCACACTACCAGTGTACAATTCATTAGTCTTTTCACTTTATATTACCCACAACAATTCCACAATATCTGCACAACAATTGTCTTCAGTTGTTCGACTAGGCTTATTCTTTACACTATGAACAGAAGCGATCGACTTTCCCCTAGCCTGCCCACTGCTGTTTATATACGCCTCATCAGACGTTTCTCGATACCCTAGAATCAACCAGAGACGCCTGGTAAATTCTAGAACGTTCTGCTCTGATTGAGGTTTACACTAATAAGTAAATCATAAAAAAAATAGTGCAATACATTCTAGATCTAAATATTCTTATATAATTAATACATCAATATATACACGAAAATTTCACAATATTTGCCTAAATAACTGCTGCCTGGGACAGAAAACAATTAAAACACCTAGTTTACAAAATTATAATACGAAATTATGCCTCGGCATAACACATGTTACTGCACAGAAGAGAGTTGTGCAGATAAAGACCTACTTGAAAAAAACAAAACAGATCACACAAACGAACAATTTGCTAAAATGACAATTTTAAAATTCGAGATTTTTTTTTTTTTACGGGAATTAGCCCACCCGGGCACAGGTCAAACGACCCACAACGGAGCCTGGGGGGCGAAAAAAAAAGAACGGAAAGAAATTGAAAATATAGAAAAAAAGGTTATACTGTATTAATCTACACCACGAAGATGCCGGAAAACCAGCTTTTTAAAGTGAGACAGATTGTAAGAGCATGGAAACACAGAAGAAGGCAGAGCATTCCACAGTTTGGCTGTGTGAGGAAAGAAGGAGGTACTATAACGGGTTATTCTCGTGTGACCGACATCCACAGAGAAATGGTGGGCACCGCGGGCAAGACGTGTGTTACGAACCCACGGCCTTGCCGGCGGTACACAGGATGCCAAATCCACTGAACATTGCCCGTTAAATTACCTGTAAAAGAGAGAGAGTGAAGCAACATTGCGGCGAAGAGAAAGGGGAGAGAGATTGTCGACTAAAGGAGGAGAGTTAATAAGACGAAATGCCTTTGATTCCACCCTATCTAGTAGTTGGACAGAAGAAGAGCCACCCCAGATATGAGAGCAGTACTCCAAGTTAGGAGGAATGAATCCCTTATATACTTGGAGCAACTGCTCAGGAGTGAAGTAGCTGCGGCATCTGTACAGCATTCCCAACTTTCGGGAGGCAGTTTTAGTTATACTAAGGATGTGTGATTTCCAGGACATATTGGAGGAAATGGTGAGGCCTAACATATTTATTTCAGAATTTGGGAGGATGATAGCGTCCTGAAATGTAATTGGTGGGAGATCGTCTACTTTACAAAGTGTAATTGGTTTGTATCTCCCCATTCAGAGATGCTGCACAGATCTGCGTTGATAGAAGTAATGATATCAGTTCTAGAAACAGATCTAGTTTGAGAGTTAGGAGGAAGGGGAAAATGTGAGGAAAAGTGAAGAGTAGAATCATCGGCGTAAGAATGGATAGAATTAGTTGTAGTGTGAAGTAAATCATTGACAAAAAGAAGAAAGAGAGTTGGTGAAAGAACAGAACCCTGTGGGACGCCACTATTGGTAGAGAAAGAGCGAGAAATCGATCCCTCGACAACAACTGCCATGGATCGATTCTCAAGGAAACTAGAGATGAGAGAACAAAGTGGGGGAGAGAAACCAAAAGAGGGAAGTTTAGATAGCAAAGACTTGTGCCATACCCTGTCAAATGCTTTGGAGATGTCGAGGGCCACGACAAAAGTTTCCCCATAATCCCTAAGAGAGGATGACCAAAGATGGGTGCAATAGGAGAGAAGATCACCAGTAGATCTCGCCTGGCGAAAGCCATACTGGTGATCCGACAAAAGAGAAAAGAGTTCAAGGTGACGGAGAAAATGGGAGTTCAAGATAGTTTCGATAATCTTAGAGAGGGATGAAGTTAGGGCAATGGGGCGATAGTTAGAGGGATTAGAATGGTCACCCTTCATCAGGATGGCCTGAACCAAGGCTTGCTTCCAAGAAGAAGGAAAAGTTTTGGTTTTGAGGCAAAGGTGAAAGAGGCGAGCGAGCACAGGGGCCAGGGCTTCAGCACACTCCCTCAGAACACGAGGGGGTATTCCGTCCGGTCCATGCGCCTTACTCACATCCAACCTGGATAACACACCGGCAACCCTGCGAGTGGAGATTATAGGAAAGTGCATAGGTTCAGTAGGAGGTGCAGGGGTAGGTGGGGTAGAGTGGGAATCGTCTAAGGCGGAATTAGAGGAGAATAAGGTGCCAAAGAAGTTGGCTTTCTCAGGGGGAGAGTTGGCTAAAGAATTATTGGGACGGAAGAGGGGAGGAAAAGAAGGCGTGCAGAAGTTGTTACAAATGTTTTTAGCTAAGGACCAGAAGAATTTACTAGAGGAAGAATTAGTCAGGACAGCAGTCTTTCTTTTAATAAAATTCCGCTTGGCCCTACGAAGAATAGCCTTACAACGATTCCTAGAAGTAATGAAAGAGGTGTGGATAATAGGAGAAGGAGATAGCTTCATAGCTCGATATGCCCTATCTCTCACCCTTCAAGCAAGAGAGCAGGAGCGATCAAACCATGATTGTAATGTGAAAGTTTGGTAGACGATGGGATAAATGCACTCATACCGCCCTGTATAACCCCAGCAATGCTGTCAGCACATACTGAGGCATCCCGAGTGGAAAAGCAACACTCATCCCAAGGAAAGTCGGTGAAGAATTCTCGCAAGGATTCCCAGCTTGCCCTCCGATAGTGCCATAGTTGACGTTTAGAGGGGGGTGGGGGAGGTGGTCGTGCCCAGCTTGATTTAATAGAAATAAGGCTGTGATCAGAAGAACCTAAGGGGGCAAAAATTGAGTATGAATAGTGTGAGGGGTTAGAGGTAAAACAAAGATCAAGAATGTTAGCAAGTTGATCGTGTCGATCAGGAACGCGTGTAGGGTGTTTGATTATTTGTTCCAAATCACTAAGTAAGAAAAAAGAGAGTGCCTCAGCTCCACCTGGGTCATCCCTTGCAGAGCCAAGCCACTCTCTGTGATGTACATTGAAATCCCCTAGGTAGAGGATCTCGGTGTTTGGGGTGTGTGGATAGCAACGACTCATGGCAAGAAGTGAGATAGTCAAAGAGTTCGAAATAGTTGGTAGAGTTGGGAGAACAGTATAGAAAACAAAGAAAAATAGTCACAGTAGGTAGAGATATTTTGAACCAGATGACATCATAAAGGGGAGATTCAAGATCCGTGAGTCGGGCTATAGGTGTACGTGTGTTGCAGTAGGTGCATACACCTCCCTTAGAACGGAAGTAGGTATAAAGGTTGTAGTTAGAGACTTGAAAAGGTTTGGGTGAAACTGCTTTGGTCAGTTGAAGTTCGGAGAGAAGTAAGAGATCGGGGGATGAGGTTAATAGATGGTGCTCCACAGAAGAAAAATTGGATCTCAGTCCGCGAATGTTGGAAAAGTGAAGTGTGAAAAAAGCCGATCCTCCAGCAACCGTAGTGGCGTCAGTTGAGGCCCCAGTAGCTTGATGATGATCAGGTCGGCCCTGGGGTCCGCAACCTTCCCGACCAGTGGGACCCATCCGAGAAGGCCCCGCTTTAGTATTAATATCAACTGACATAGGAGAATAAAATAGAATGAATAAAACAGATCAAGAATGAGTAAGGTTTTAGTTGTGGTGTTGTCAATAGTAAGAGAGACAGTTGAGACCCTGCAATTGTGTGTAAATGAGGCAGAAAGATAGATCAGCAACCTGGGACTTGGTCACAATTTTCGTGATGCCATATAGCAGCAGGGTCTACCATTAGACAACACATTATGCTTCCAATATCTTCCCAGGCGGTAGTACCTCCCTGTTTGGTAGCTGCCTACTACCTACTACCTACTACTGTGCCCTCTTTGTTTACAAAGCTGTCAATCACTTCCGACACCCAGAGCTACTAAGACCACCCCACCATGCTCTCCTCTCAGTCCCAGACCT